AGATCACCAAGTCTTTCTTTGTATGTACCTCTGGGCTTGAACCTCCAACCTTTTGGTTAGAAGCCAAAAGTGTTAACCTTTTGCACCACCCAGTAGCCCATCCAAAACCATTAAAAACCCACTGCCACTGAGTTGATTCCAATTATAATGACGCCATAGGACAGAGTTGAACTTCGCCATCGAGTTTCCAAGGCTCTGAATCTTTACAGAAGCAGACTGCAACATCTTTCTCTTGTGCAGCAGGTGGTGGGTTTGAACTGCTGACCTTTTGGTTGGCAGCCGAGTGCTTTAACCACTGTGCCACCAGGGCTCCAGTAGCCCGTAGTTAGTAGGAAATAATGAGGAAGGACAAGACTCACTGTTGATGTTTATTATTACAACAGGCCTGATGACATACCTTGGATCTTTCACCAGGATGCAATATCAGGGAATGTAAATCTGGAGCCTTACATAGTAGGATGGAGCCCTGGTGGTGCAGCGGTCAAGAGCTTGGCTGCTAACCAAAAGGTCGGCAGTTCGAATCCACCAGCTGCTCCTTAGAAACCCTATAGGACAGTTCTACTCTATGCTAAAGGATCACTATGAGTTGCAATCAACTCGACAGCAATGGGATTTCGTATGTAGTAGGATGACCTCAGCGATGAGCGTCTCTTTTTCTTATTAAGAGCTTCTTTTAGAACTTCACTGGACAGGACCCATTCGAGACTGCTGCCTTGTACTTCCTTACACTGAATTCTACTTTAAAAGCAACAGTGGTAAGGCAAGATCCTATGACGTTCTATATGCCAACACAAACTTTTTTCTTGGAGAACATGCCGCTATATTAAGCAAATCAGACATACACAGCAAAGGGCAGAATTTGGCTTGGTGTAATTAATTTGTAGTTAGTCAGCTAAGGGTGTTTGAGTACAATTGCACATTTGTAAATATATTCCCCCAGGCCCGCTGTGCAGATGACACTACCCTTTGTGGAAGAAAAAAGATGAATGTGTTTGAGGGAGAACTCTTAGAATTGTAGATCTCTTAGAATATCCATGTCACCAGTTTTTTCTTACCCTCAAAAACATGTTTTTTTCTTTTTTTCAGAAATTAAATTCACTTTTTACAAAAATCATGGTAAATATATAGGTAACAAAACATTTGCCATTTCAACAATCTTCACATGTACACTTTAGTGTTGTTAATTTTGTTCATCAAGTTATTCAACCATCACCCTTATCCGTTCCGAAATCAAATCCACTTTACAGTCACCCCTATTTTTGAAACCAGATAACCATCCTGGAGGCCCAAGGTTTCCCGGAGAAATTGCCTTTTTCACAGCGTAAAAGAGCCCCAGATGCCTGATTGCTTTGTAAAGAGCAACTCCCCGAGATCACTTAGCATTTAGCACATGTAGCTTACCTGCTTAGTTGCTATTAAAGCTAATGTAAGACAAATACTCTTCCTGCGAGGAGAGGGCCTGGAAATTTAATAATGCCACAGGGAATACGTATGACCTCACACCTCCAACCCAGACATTGTTTAACCATACCCCACAACTTGTGAATTTCAATTATTTGTTCAGGGGGGTCATTCCTAATTGCCTGGTGTAAGCCTGCCTTTACGATGTAAAGCAGAGGACAATGAAAATGCTGGCCGGGCGAATTAGGGCCACAGCACTTAAACATATAAATTAACTAGGCCTCTTTTCACAGTTCCCCCTTTCTATTCTGAGAGGTTTCAGTCTGGTGACATCAAAGACAGGATTATGGGAGAAGATAAAAACTTGATCTAATGTCCATGTTTGAAGTCGCGAAAGTCCTCCTCTCTCCGCGGCAAAATACCCCTCTTCATAACACACACACAAAAACCAGGGTCCAGGTGCAAAAGGGGTTGGGGGCGGGATGCGGATGGGGGAAGGCTGCAAGGAAGGCCCTGGTTTCCTGAGGTTGAAGGAATAACTGGGTGTTAAAGCCCGGCATTGCCAAATGTGCTAATAGATTGTTTGTAGGCTTGAGCTGGCTTTGTTCTGCAAATTAATATGTTAAGTCTTTCTTTTAAGCCTGTGTGATGTTGAGATGGTTCTTTAATGAGATTTTAACTACGTTTCCTTTACTATTGGCAAAGACTAGAAAAGATTTTTTTTTTTAGTGTAGAGGAAAGTGATGTCTAACTTCAACACCATTAACAAATATTTCCTTTAGATGTTAATTGTCATTCAAATTTCTTGCCTCATAACAAATCATGGTATTGGTGTTCACCCTGCCCCAGTGGGATATAGAATATATGCATTCACGTTAAAGTGATAGGCTTAACATTTTGTTTAACGAATAGTTTCTTTGGGGTGTGAAAGTTTGCAGGAAGAAAGGATACTATAATTTGAAGGCATCGTTTTCTTTGGAATTCATAGAAATTGTTTGGGGTGAATATAAACCTTGGTTCTTTAAAAATATAGGCAGCTGCACTGCCTCCCGTTGCTGCTGGGGAGATTTATTTTCAAAACTCTGAAAGCTACAAGCCCATGACTTTTAAAGTCCTTAGTTCTTTAAGCACTAAATCAGCATTCAAGTGGCTGGTTAATCTCCCAAGGGCCAAAATGAAGCACTCTGGCCTAGTTTATAACACAGACTGACTGTTAGAAAACTCTTTAGCATCAAACCTAGTAAGCATGGGGTATAAATACAGCCTTTAGACAAAACTGCTGTATTGGAGCCTTTCCTTACTTTATACTTTTCTCCTACCTTGTGGACTTGAAGTGAAAAAATGAAATAAACTATTTTAGTAAGGGTATGGGGCAGCACGTATTACAACTTTTGAAAAACTTAAGTTGTTTAGGTTCAACAACCATGAAAAGTTCCTGTCTGTATTCTCAGCCTTCTTAATTGGGGATCTCATTGAGTATTATTGCTCTCTGTAGACTGTGATTGGCACACCTCCATAGGGAGAAGGCCCAGGAAAGGGATGGTAGCCCATCACGCTTAGCCCTGTGTTCCGTTCTGAACAATAGCTCTGCCTAACAGTTGAAGGGAATCCCTGGGTGGAGCAAAAGGTTAAATTGCTTGGCTGCTAACTGAAAGTTTGGAGGTTCCAGTCTACCCTGAGGCACCTTGGAAGAAAGCCCTGGAGCTCTACCTCCAAAAAAGCAGCCATTGAAAGCCCTATGGAGAACAGTTCTACTCTGACACATACGGGGGTCACCGTGAGTCAGAGTTAACTCTACAGTAACTGGTTTAACAGTTGAAGAATTCTTTAATCTCCTTGCATTTATCCAAGTTTAACAGAAAAATTAAACCTAGTTTACCCAGCTGGTGGATCTTTGCTATGTCACAGCTGGAATCCTTAAATGTATCTTACCATTTTCTATAAAAGTCTGGCTCTAAGAAGGAAACTTAAGGAGCCCAGTGTCTCAGAAGTCTGAGCACCCTTGATGTCTTACACCAGCCTGTTTTACCTCTTTACACATTCTTCCATTTTATGTTCATGTATTTACCTTAAAAGTAATTTGGTTAAATGTAACAAAGGTTAATTATTTATTTATTCTATTGAAGAAAACATATCCTCTTCCTGAATTCCCCTTTCAAAGACATTTAAGAAAGTTAGCACATCTGAAGCTTGCAAACTCATGCAAACAAGTTACAAGCATTGGGTTTTCAGAGTATAAGTTACTTCCTAACCAAAACCAGACTCGTTGCCGTGGAGTCAGCTACCGTATAGGACAGAGTAGAACTGCCCCACAGGGTTTCCAAGGAGTGGCTGATGGATTGGAATCTGTAGCTCGCCATAGCGCTCAACCAAACTGGTGAAAGACACTTGTCTCCATGAAGTACTCAGTCAAGGAACTTGTCTTTTTGCTCAGTGTCAGTATTTACAGATTTCCCACTTTTATCTTCAAAATCCTTTCCATTCTGGACAACCAAAGAATTCTTTCTTTTAAGCCAAGGTATGATCAGACCTGTCCAATTTTTTCCCTTCTCCTCAAAAATCCTCCATGGCTGATATGACATATGAATCCCCTTGCCTTGAGTATTGACTGCTTGATGACCTCAGGTAAGTGTTCTACCTTTGTCAACAACTGTGGGGGGAACTGGTGGGAGCGATGTTTGCTTGGCTGCCCCTTTGCTGAATAGCAACTATGGGTCAGGCATTCTTTCCTGGAACACTCGCACACCAGCACACACACTCCCACTGTATTTCTTCTAGGCCTGATCCAGAGGAGAGCTTTTGGACTTGTCAATCACCAGAGTTCCATCTTCCATTAGGGCATGTTTTTCTGGTCTGATTTCAGGCATTGTTGCTGCCATGTAGATTCTCGCAAGATTAAAAGGAAAGGATTTTATTTCTTTTTTTTTTCTTTTTAATTTAACTGTTTATTTGTTACAACCTTTTGACTCAGCAGGTGATCTGGGCACTACACTTCCCCTCACAAGCTCAGCAGGGTTACTTTGCAACAGCCTAGCTGGCGTAGAATTTTGCTACTCTAATCAATATGTTCTTCTTTGGAAACAAGCTCTATGGATACTTAGGTCCCACTGAGTTGGTTTAGTGTAGTGTGCTAACTTCTAGAGGCCTAGTACATGCAGAATTGGTAACTACAGGGGATGAAGGCTTAAAAAGAAGATCCTAGAAAGTGAAACTCAAACTTGTTTTAACAAAGATTTTTCTTTTAAACATCAAGGTGTATCTCAACACTTCAGTGACAAAAACTTGGCTTACCAGGAATCTGTTTAACAGCTAAACACTTTAGACCACTGAGTTAACATTAGGTTACATACACCTTACAACGAATGTCACCTCAAGTTGTTAAATAAGCCAATGTGAAACCAGAAAAACATTACTAGCTCTGCTTTAGTGCCTAAAGTATCACAGCATCACACTTAGAAGTAGAAAGAAATCTTATCTTCCCCTTATTGTCATGCCACACAGCTTTTTAAAATGTTAACAAAAATCAAGAAAAAAAATCCTTGAAAATATATTAACAGAAGGAATGAAGATAAAGTATTGAACACGTATACAGGCAGAGCTTAGTCGACCTCTTCCATGCGCGATGTGTCATCATCTCCTTCCAGGGGCAGCATTTCTTCAGTGACAACAGCACTGGTATCGTCAGCAGTACGGTCATCTTCATCAATACCCAGACCAAGTTTGATCATCGCGTAGATCCTATTAGCATGTGTCTGGGGACCTTCTAGACTGAAGCCAGAAGACAGGAGTGTGGTTTCATAGAGTAAGATGACCAGATCCTTCACAGACTAATCATTCTTGTCAGCCTCGGCCTTTCGCCATAAGGTCTCAATGATGGGCTGGTCAGGGTTGAGCTCCAGATGTTTCTTTGCTGCCATGTAGCCCATTGTCGAATTGTCTCTCAGGGCTTGAGTCTTCATGATCCTTTCCATGTTTGCCGTCCAGCCATATGTACTTGTGACAATGCAGCATGCGGACGTGACCGATCGTTTTGACACCACCACCTTTTCAACTTTTTTCTCCAAAATGTCTTTCATGATTTTGCAGAGATTCTCAAACTTTGTTTTTTTCTCTTCTTGTTTCTTTTTCTCTTCTTCATCTTCTGGAAGTTCCAAGCCCTCTTTGGTGACTGACACTAAAGTCTTCCCTTCAAACTCCTTCAGCAGTTGGACACAGTATTCATTGATGGGCTCAATCATATAGATCACTTCTAAGCCATGCTTCCAGAGATGTTCCGCAAAGGCCGAGTTAGCAACTTGGTCCTTGGTTTCACCAGTGATGTAATAGATGTGTTTCTGGTTTTCCTTCATTCTGGTACAATAGTCCTTGAGAGATACCATCTCATCACCCGAAGCAGATGTGTAATACCTTAACAGCTCTGAAAGCTTCTTCCGATTTTGAGAGTCTTCATGTATTCCAAGCTTACTGTTTTTAGAGAACTGCTCATAAAACTTCTTGCAGTTCTCTTTATCTTCGGCCAGTTCAGTGAAGAGTTCTAAGCACTTTTTGACCAAGTCCTTCCTGATAACTTTCAAAATTTTGCTTTGTTGCAACATCTCACTGGAAATATTTAGAGGGAGATCCTCAGAGTCCACCACACCTCTAATGAAATTCAGATATTCAGGAATTAGCTCCTCACAGTTATCCATGATGAAAACTCTGCGTACGTACAACTTAATGTTGTTCTTTTTCGTTCTGTTTTCAAACAGATCAAAGGGAGCACGTCCTGGGACAAAGAGAAGGGCTCTGAATTCTAGCTGTCCTTCAACTGAGAAATGCTTCACTGCCAAGTGGTCTTGCCAGTCATTGGTCAAGCTCTTAAAGAATTCGCCGTATTCTTCATTAGTAATATCATCAGCATTTCTGGTCCAAATGGGCTTCGTTTTGTTGAGTACCTCTTGGTCAGTGTACTTTTCCTTGATCTTCTTTTTCTTCTTCTTGTCACCATCTTTCTTTTCTTCTTCCTCTTCATCAGAACCAACATCTTCTATTTAAGGCTTGTCATCAGACTCATTTTCTTCTTTTTCTTTTTCCTTCTCTTTCTCTTCCTTTTCTTCGGCCTCATCATCACTCACTTCTTTATCTCATTCTTTCTCCATGAAGAGGGTGATCGGGTAGCCGATGAACTGAGAGTGCTTCTTCACGATCTCCTTCATCCTTCTTTCCTCCAAGTACTCCGTTTGGTCTTCCTTCAGATGCAGGATCACCTTTGTTCCACGACCCATAGGTTCTCCTGTGTCCGTCCTAACTGTGAAGGACCCTCCTGCAGAAGACTCCCATGCATACTGCTCATCATCATTATGTTTGGTGATCCCAGTCACTTTCTCAGCAACAAAATACGCAGAGTAAAACCCCACACCAAACTGGCCAATCATGGAGATGTCTGCACCAGCCTGCAAAGCTTCCATGAATGCTTTGGTCCCTGACTTGGTGATGGTACTGAGATTATTGATCAAGTCGGCCTTGGTCATCCCAATTCCAGTGTCTACAATCATGAGGGTTCGATCTTGCTTGTTTGGAATGAGATTAATATGCAGCTCCTTCCCAGAGTCTAGCTTACTGGGATCTGTCAAGCTTTCATATCTGATCTTGTCCAATGCATCTGATGAATTTGAAATCAGCTCCCTCAAAAAGATCTCTTTGTTTGAATAGAAAGTATTGATGATCAAGGACATCAACTGGGCAATTTCGGCCTGGAAGGCAAACATCTCCACCGCTTCCTCCTCCATGGGCTGGTCTTGGGTCTACGTCTCCTCAGGCATCTTGGCGAAAGGCCTGCACAGACTCCGCAATGCAGCAGCACCAGGACGCAGAAGCAACTCAAGGATTTTATTTCTTGATGAGGTGCTGGAGGCCTGTCTGGTGGGTGATTTCTAGGACACTGAGGAAGGGGGCAACTTTAGTGGGTCAAGAGACCCTTGAAGATCCTTGTAGCACAGTAGCTCTGGGTGGTACTCCTGAATCTTTAAGGTGATGAAGTGGGGGAGGGAGGTATCTTGAAACATTCTTCAATCAGTGCAGAAAAAAAAAAATAAATAAATAAATAAATAAATAAACCCACTGCCATCAAGTCAATTCCCACTCATAGTGACCCTGTAGGACAGAGTAGAACTGCCCCATAGGGTTTCCGAGGCTGTAAATGATATATGGAAACAGATTACTACATCTTTCTCCCATGGAGCAACTGGTGGGTTCAAACCACAGACCTTTTGGTTAGCAGCCAGGTGCTTTAACTACTGCGCCACCAGGGCTCCAGTTTCAATCAGTGCAGTTCTTGGAAATTCTACAAACCTCAGAGAAAGTGACTGTTTGATTGTTTAACATGTTCTCCATACCCTAGATTGCTGTTATGCAGCTTTCCAAAATGTGCCCTCGTTTTCCCAAGTTATCAGCCTATCAGAAGCCTAAAGACCACTTAAGCATACTCCATACAAGACATCAGGGGAAAAAATAGTGTTGGTAGTCAAAGCCAATGTAACTGAAGTAGAGAAATAGCAAGCACCATTAATAAGAGTTGCCTGGTGCCCTGGTGGGCCAGTGGTTAAGAGCTACAGCTGCTAACCAAAAAGTCAGCAGTTTGAATCTACTAGACACTCTGGAAACTCTGTGGGGCGGTTCTGCTCTGTCCTGTAGGGTCACTATGAGTTGGAATCAACTCAACAGCAATAGGCTTGGTTTTTTTTTTTAGCTAGCTCTGACTCTGTTGATTCTGCATATGCTTTCTGCCTACTTGATCAATAATTATTGAGAAAAGGGTGTTGAAATCTCCAACTATAATTGTGAATGTGGCTGTTTCTCCTTTCAGTTCTCTAGTTTCTGCTTCACGTATTTTGGAATTCTCTGCATTAGTGTTGAACACATAAACATTTATTGTTTTCTTAGGGTTATATTGTAAATGTTTTTAGGAAGTATGAAAGGCAAAAACAAGTGTAGGGAACTTGACAAAGAGATTAGTAGAGTAGTATCAACTAGAAACTGGTGATATTTGTTATTAAAATCTGAAACTGGGTCTATTTACTAGACTGAGAAGTATTGTGTGTGTGTGTGTGTGTGTGTGTGTGTGTGTCAGAGTGTACCAGTAATCCTCTCAATTTCAGTAACAGTTCAAATAAAATTCATCAGAGATTCTCCTTAAAATGTTTGTGTGACTTCCACTATTTCCATCAAGAAGAGGAGACATCTTTTGTCAAAGACCTAAACATATGAAACTATGAATCTCATTTACTTTATAACAATCTACTCACTCCTTTCTGAAATAGGGAGAAAAGAAAGAAGACATATCAGCGGGGAGTAAGTATTTGGAATAGATGGATGGATTTGTTAGCAAACTGGCTATTTATAGAAGGACATAGGAAGATAGGGTAGAAGCTATAAACATGGTTCTTGGAGCTTCTTACAGGGTAAATAAACTCAGTTTATCTTATGAAACATATATAGTCATTTTTATAACATATGGTCTCAGATGAAATTTTACCACTACTATGGGTATAGTGGTCACTGAGTTAGCTCATATTCAGTAAGACATCTTGTTTTTCCTTTACATAAAAGGAAAGAACCAGTTGAGCTATAGTCTTTAAAGTTAGTATCTAGTACTAAGAACTTAAAAGAAAAAAGTAGCAAAACTTAGAAACAATATTGTAAGCTGAGTTTATTTACAGCCCCTTGAGTAAGAGGTTTCTGAGAACCACTCCTTGAGTGTTTTTGAAGGGCAGAAATAAAAGGCTAAATAAATAAAATTTATTTAAATAGCAACATGGTTTAAAATAGTTTTTAAAAAGAACTATTATGACAATTATAAATACCAGATTAGGGTAGCGGCTACAGAATCATAAGAAATGGGCCCAAATCTATAAGTGTACGATAAAGGTGACATCTCAAATCCCTGGGAAAAAGAAGGACATTCTAATAAATGGTGTTGGTACAATTGGATAGCCATTTGGGAAGAGGTAAAATTGGACCTACCCCTCAAATTGTACACCAGGATAAATTCAAAATAGATCAGAGAAATGAATGTAAAAAATGAAACATGCAAATACTAGAGGAATGTGAGTGAATTCCTTTATAGCCTGGAATAGAGGAAAACTTTTCTAACACTTGAAATCCAAAAGCACTAAAGGGAAAGTCTGGTAAATTCCACTACATGCACACACAACTCTGCATGGCAACGTTCTCCACTCTCCCCAAGAAACCAAAAAACCAAACCCATTGCTGTCGAGTCAATTCCGACTCATAGAGACCCTGTAGAACAGAGTAGAACTGCCCCCATAAGGTTCCCAAGGAGCAGCTGGTGGATTTGAACTGCCGACTTTTTTGGTTAGCAGCCAAGCTCTTAACCACTACACCACACCCACTGTATTTGTGTCCTAGGGCCACCATAACAAAGTATCACAAAGTGGGTGGTTTAAAACAACAGAAAGTTATTTTCTCACAGTTCTGCAGACTAGAAATCTGAATTCAAGGTGTTGGCCAGGCCATACTCCCTACAGAGGCTCTAGGGGAAGATACTTCCTTGCCTCTCCCAGCTTCTGGTCACCCCAGGAGTTCCTTGGCTTGTGGTAATGTAAGTGGAATCTCCATCTCCTTCTTCACCTGGTGTTCTCCCACCGCATCTCTCTGTCTCTATGTTTTTCACCTCTTCTTATAAGGACATCAGTCATGTTGGATTAGCAACCACCCTACTTCAGTATGACCTTATATTAACTAACTATATCTGCAACGATCTTACCCAAATAAAGTATCATAACCACACAGAGAAAAATAATGATTTTAAACTCCTTACAGAAGAATCCAAACCAATCAATAAAGATGAAGTGGTAAAGAGAAAAATCACCATTTGCAACCCCTAATGAAATAATTGATTTAGGCAAGGATCGTCAATGGATTATAAACCATTAAGTGAAAAGATGTTGTGGAACAGTATATTTTAAGGTACCAAAGTATAACCCTGCAGATTTCTCTCTAACTTCAAAATCCCCTGTAACTAGAGATAACTTTACAAAGGAGAGAGCTCATTGTCACCACCATAATAACCAGTGATCGAACTTAGATCTAAAAGAATGACACATCTGACATTGTGTTCTCCTCTCATGGAAGCATTGCCTAGGAAGTATTCCTTCCAGAAATGTTTAACCAAAATCTACCCAAGCCCTGAAACTTCCAGTTTACAGGAAATATAACACTAGAGGAACAAGTTAAATGACACCAAGAGGAAACAATTAGACACATACAGAATATGGAACATTCTACAAGAACTTCCTGGCATCTTCAAAATGTCAGTGTCATGAAAAAAAAAAAAAAAAGCAAGGCTGGGGGGAAACTCTCCTACAATAAAAGAGACTAAAGCAATACAATAATGAAATGCAATTCATAACCCCTGTTTTAATGTTGGTTTACAAAATCAGCCATAAAAACCAATTTTGGAAAAAATGGGGGAATTTTACTTTGGACTGGGTCTTATTTGCTATTAGAGAGGTATTGTTAATTCTTTTACGTTTATTAATGGTATGTGATCATGTAAGAGAATATCCTTACTCTTAGGAGATGCATGCTATAGTATTTAGAGGTGAAGAGTTAGAAATTCATGATAGATAAACTGATATATTCATGCTGTTGTTAGGTGCCATCGAGTTGGTTCTGACTCATAGTGACCCTATGTACAACAGAACGAAAAATTGTTGTTATGCTTGAGTACTGTTGCAGCCACTGTGTCGATCCATCTCATTGAGGGTCTCCCTCTTTCCCGATGACTCTGTATTTTACCAAGCATGATGTCCTTTTCCAGGGACTGATCCCTCCTGATAACATATCCAAGTATTTGAGATGAAGTCTCGCCATGGTGCTTCTAAGGAGCATATTTATATTCATAGACAGGGAAAACATAGGAAAATATGTTAACATCTAGAGGGGAATATAGGAGTCCCTGGGTAATGCAAGGAGCCCTGGTGACGCAGTGGTTAAGCGCTCAGCTGCTAACCAAAAGGTCAGGGTTTGAATCCACCAGCCACTCCTTGGAAACCCTATAGGGCAGTTCTGCTTTGTCCTATAGGATCGCTGTGAGTCGGAATCGATTTGATGGCAACGGGTCTGGGATTGGTGGGTGGTGCAAACAGTTACGCATTCAGCTGCTAACCTAAAGGTGGGAGGTTCAAGTCCTTTCAGAGGTGCCTCAAAAGAAACGCCAGGCAATCTACTTCTGAAAAATCAGCCACTGAAAACCCCATGGAGCACAGTTCTACTCTGACATACATGGGGTCGCCATGAGTCGGAGCTGACTTAACTGGTAATAGAGGAGTATGGATGTTGAATGTAGGTGATGGGTCCGTGGCTGTTCATTTTACTATTCTTTTAATACTTCCATTTTTTCCAATACGTTTAACATTTTTCATAATATACAGTCGAGAAAGTAAAAGATAAATAACGTTTTGAGAATCAGTACAAAAGGCATGGCAGAGGCTCCACACTGAAACTCTGTCAGGGAATTGGCTCAGATAAGCCTTGGAGAGGCGACTCGAGGCCTAGAAAGTTAGTGATTCTCCAGTGATGGATCTTCTTCCCCCAAAGAGAGACAGGGTACAGTGACTAAATTTTAATTCCAGGCCCCTAAGCTAAAGTTTCAGAAAGAGACCTTTTAGCCTTCGTTAATTGTAAGTTAATCAGCTTTCCAGTTGAGAGAAGGCCTCCTTCTTTCTGCATCCACCGCCCACCCCCTACCCCCCACCAACCCCTGTGTTTCTGCCTGGGGCAAGAATGAGACATTTTATAA